TATTTATATTTATTCAAATAAAACAAAAATATTAGAATAAAATGACGTCATTCAACTAAACAGTATTTTTTAATAACTAATAACTTTTCATCTTTACTTTCAGATAAAAATAACATCGGTGTCATAAAATTGGTGTAAAAATTGTAAATTGTATATAAAAAATTTGTAAATTTTTAATTTATGCATTAAGCTAAAGTTTAAAATATAAATATATATTTAAAAATATAATACAATATATACAAATAATAAATATATTTAGAAATTAAATATAGAAATTGTATATGTTTTTGATACCCAATTGTGTTCAATAGTTAATAAGTGAGTGTTTAAAATAGCGATAAATAAATATAAAAAAATTTATATACATAAATATATGTAATAATCAATTAATAAATAATATATGTTTAAATAAAAATATATAGAATTTAGATAACTAAAATATAATTATAAACAAAAAGCTTGCAATTTGGAGCATAAAAATAAATATTAAAAATATTAAATATTGTTTAAAAATTGTTAAACTGAAACAAAAGCGTAGCTGCATCTTGAAAAACAACAATAAAGTCGAGAAATAAAATTAAACAATTTATTAACAAATTTATTTAAACAAATCAACGAAACGGTTGAGCGCAACAACAAATACGGAAGCAAATTCAAGGCAAATTTTTTGATAAATAAATTTTTAAACAATTCAAAAAATCGTTTGTTTTGTTTATGAAATAGAAGAAAAATAAATTAAATACTTAAACTTAAAAGTTTTTTAAAACAATTTTTTTTAAATTAACAAGTTTATCAAATACATAAAAAACAATATATAATAATTTATAGCAGATCAAGTAACCAAAAATGGCGACAGAAAATGACGGATATTAAAAATGCGACAATTTAAAGGACATTTAAGGTAAGTCTTTTATTATTTTATTATTTTATTCTATTTTATTCTGTTTTATTCTATTTTTTATTGATTGTAAATGCAAACCTTTTCTAAGATATATTACATATCAATTGCTTAATGCTATATAATGAAAGCGATTGATTATGATCTTAAAATATTTTTCATTTCGAATATTTATCATTTTTTTATATTACATATTACCCTGTAATACAAAAGTCAAGTATTTTTTTCTTTTTTTTTTGATTTCTCAATAGTTTTATTTTTTTAGACATTTGAACTTAAATCTGCTCGACAGCCTTATATATTAAATATGCGTAAGGTTTAACTCAATGTAGTATCTCTATCGTTCTACAAAATACACATAATGTATGTCTCTGAGATCGCGTTTAACTATGTATGAGATCGCTAAAGACTTTCTATCGGTATCTCTATAAAATCAACATAAAGGTTTAACTGTTTATGAGATCGCTAAGGTCTAATAGGTTTATGTGTGGCTTACAGCCAATCAAAATAACCTAAGATTAAAATTCAAGAACTGTGGTGTTAAAGGGTTTGGGATTTTAAAATCTCGTTCTTATTTTCAGTAAAGGGAGTTTCGAATTTATTCCAAGTCTTATAGTGATCATTAGTTGTTGCATCATTAGTTTGCAAACAAAAATTCAGAATTTTAAATGAATCTTCTACTTCATTTTTGGAAGGCTGATGAACAATTTCATCCACGAAACCCTCACCGAACCCCCCGTTGCGCTTAAAATGAGATCTAGTAATTTAGAGCTATAGTACTCAATAATATCGTCATCTGTAGGAAAGCTTGATGTATAAATTTCATTGTCAAGCTGAATATAAGCATTAAGAATAATATTGGAAGTTATTTGAATTATTTTAAGCCACGCTGCCAGCGACTGGCATTTGCATAAAGAAGCAACATAAAAAAGAAAAAATTAAACATTTGGTTTGGAAAAAGGGAAATCCCCTAACACCAAAATGGATTCTTACTTAAAACAAAAATTCGACTTATAGAATGCACTTTCCCACATTCCTATTGGTACGTGACAATATTTATATTCGTGTTATAGAGAAATTCGAGTTATAGAAGTTTGAGGTATAGAAGCAGAATTGTATATAATTTGCTTTTTAAAACCCTGTTGCACTCTTTTTAGTTTGAGTTATAGAAAATTTGATTTATAGAAGTTCGAGTTATCGAAGTTTGACTGTATTTTTTAAAAATTAACTTTTTGTCACAACATGATTTAAAAAATATTAAAAAAAGAAGGATTTTTTAGATATCCCTTTAAAATTAATTCTTTAAAGGATGATATCATAAAATATTTATTATTTATTAATTATAATTAATTATTATAAATTATGATCAATTATTATAAATTTTAATTAATTATTATAAATTATAATTAATTAATTAATAATAATTAATTAATTAATAATAATTAATTAATTAATAATAATTAATTATTATAAATTATAATTAATTATTATAAATTATAATTAATTAATTTATAATTATTAATTATTAAATTAATTAATTACAATTAATAATTATAAATTTCTAGTGCTTGGTTGCTTGGAGTGCCAGGTCAGCAAATATCGTATTAATATATGTGTAAAATTGTATTCTCTACTTAAGTGTTTGTACACTCACCCTGTATATTCAATGTCTTATTGCAATTTGTCAACTTAACATTGAAATGCTTAAAATAATTTGAAATTTAAATAATGAAGAAGAATTTATGTTTAACAAAATAAAATAAATTATTTTTAGTTAAACAAATAAAAACTAACAATTAATCATAACATAATTATTTTCAAAAATATATATTTTTTTTCTAGTATCATAAAAATATCACAAATACTTAAGAAAAAGTAAAGTAAAGTGTGTCTAAAAATTGAATAAACAAATTCTTTAAAAATACACAAATATATTTTTTTTTATTTTAGTTTGATTATTTTTTTTTTATTAATACATTTTAATAAAATTACGACAAAAAAAAAAATCAAAATAAAATAAAATTTGTTGACAATTTTCTCATCTGCGGATATGGAAATATGCATTATTTACATGAATAATGAATGAATGAATGAACCGCCGCCACCTTAGTAGAGCTAAGCGAAATGCATTAATAATTCGTCATCAAGTGAGTTGTGTTGCTTCTTCTTTCTCTAACCAAATTACAAAACAATAACAACAATAATAATAACAACAATAATAACAACGACAACAATTACAACAAAAAAAGCAAGCATTTAACATGTTTTGTATGTTCTTTGCTGTTGTTGTTGTTTTTGTCTTTAGTTGTGTATATATTTTGCTCCCAGACAAGGAAGTAAAATTGAATGCTAATTTTGCAATATAAAAACAATAACAAAATTTGCAACAAATACAACAAGAAGAACAGAAAGAACAGAAAGAACAGCAATAACAACACACAAGCGCATATATACACACACACACGCACACACATTTACTATTTATGTCAACCTTTGTATTTCCTTGCAATGTTCTTTTCTATGCAAAAAAATGCATTTAAATTTTTTTTATTTATTTTTCATATAAGTTTTATGTTTTGTATGCATTTTTATTAGATGTTTCAAAGTTTATTGCTAGTAGTTATATACTAATATATTTAGATAAATATATATATACAAGTATTTTTTTGTAAGAAACAAAATGTATTTAGAAAATAATAGTCAAAACATTTAATGTTATTTTTTATGTTCGTTTTTACTATGTTTCTATGAATATTACTATATAGTCATATATTCTGATTTCTTTTTAAATATTTTGAATAATTTTTAAATAATAATAATAGACACAATTACAGTAATCTCCCCTATAACGCGGTACCATCATAACGCGTTTTCATACTACGCGATTTCAATCCCCCGTATAACATGGGCATTCTTCCATATAATGCGGGGATTTGTACAGTTCATAATTAGCTTCGCATACCTTTGCACGTGTGTTTACGGGGTATACGGGGTATACGGGAATACCCCTATAACGCGTTTTCCTATAACGCAGAACTAATCTACCGCGTTGTAGTCGGGATTATTGTATTTTGATTTTGATATAATTTATTTTTGTATTTTATTTAGAAAGAGTAGTAATTGATTGTATTTGGAGAGTGTAAAGGTGTTGTCGGACCTCACCAGTAGGAGGCTGTTAGAAGACAGGTTCTTGGTGTTGGTGGATCTTTGAAATTAATTTTCTCATTTAGTTTTATATCTCTAAAATTAATAATATAAATACTTAGCTAAATAGTTGAAGAGTTAAGGAGGAACTCTTCACATATGAATTGTACTTTTCACACATATCAGGTTCTTCACAAGAACATCATTTCACTCTACCGCTTATTTGTAGTCTGCGCTATTTGCAGATTAATTAATACATTCCTTTTATATAATATAATTTCAGAAAAGAAAAACAGATCGTAAAAACATATCAATACAATGTTGGGTATTACGTCGGGGAACTGTTATTAACACGAAGTTCTAGTAGTTAGTCTATTTGACAAATTTTGGTCATGAGATAGTGAAAGAACCGATACTTCTAGACAGAGTCCATAGTGATTAAATGCCGTTAAGGTTAAACACCACGGTGGTCTTAACACACATATTAAAATAGTTCAACAATAAGTGCCCACATTGAAATACTAAAAAATTCCCCTAGCACTAATTGTTACTCAATATATTCGAACAAAGTTGTTTCCTTAGGAGGATCGAAGTCCATCTCATACCTCTGTTGTTCTTAAAGTCACAGTACTCGTTTGCAAAATCTAAATTCACATTGTATGAAAATGATCAATATAGTACTTCTTTTCACTTAATTTAGGTTTTAACTAAAACCAGCACAATACTACAATTAAAGGAGCCAACCTCAATTGGTCATGGCAGTCGAAGCAGTGAGTCCTGCTCCCCATGGTATCAGATTAACAACATCAGTCAAATGTTATTCGATTTCGAAATTACTTCCCAGAAGATTTAATTTAATAATGATAATATTTCTGTCTGCTTATTACAACCAATATTCGTATGTGTCTCTAATATCAATTGTTATTTTATAGGTTTTGTTGTTGTTAATTAGTTTGAATTAAATTAAAAAATTAAGTTTTTATTTAATTTACATATACACGTATATGTAATAATGTTATTGCCATCTCCTCTTCTTTTCGTCTGGGCTGCTACAAAACACCATCACAGCTTTAAAATTGTAAATCTATAGAATTAAAAAATTTACAGTCTCTTTTTACTACCGTATTTGAGTATAAGTCTACCTTGATAAATCTGGATGATGTCTGTAAAATCTCCCTTCTTTCCGTTAATAACATTTTGGTTGTGAAGAAGAGACTGACTTCCACATTCAGTAGTTAGTAGTTAGTAGTTAGCAAGCAGTACGACATGACGCCTTTCAGCAGTCCTATAGATCCAACCATCGAAAGGGTAGTTTTGAACGGTAATCAGCAAAAGACGTACTTTAATTATAGTATTATTGTCATCAACATGTATGCGGGTGCTAACAGTTGTTTGTACATTTTGAGTTTGATCCTCGTTTGCTTCTCCACTACCTTTTTCAGTTATAGCAATCAGGCTTTTTAGTATACGAGGAGCAGGCGCATATATCTTTAGCATTTTTGGACGTAAACTTAAAACTTTTTTAGCTGAAGAAGTGAACTGAACTGAAAATGTACAATTTTTTCTATATTTTGTATGTATTTCTGATTGTCAAATTCTTTCAAAAAGTAGCTTGTTACTATGTTTTAAATTTATTTTAAATTTATTTTTTTATTGTCATAAAAATATTTTTATTAACTTCTGTCAAAATTCAAAATTTTATACTAGAAATAGAAAATTAAACCATAAGATTGTACATTGATAGTAAAAGTTAAACACTTATTTTCCAAGAAACGCATTACCTTTGATAATATTTCTATAAGAGATTTTTGTTTCAATATTATTTATAATTTTCAATAGTCCATTTTTACCTTTTGATATTTCGTTTTGACATTTGTCTCCATAGTAACTATTGCTTTTCTTTCGTTTGTTTTAATATCAAAATATAGTTACAGTTTTTTTAAAAAACATGTACTTATACCAAAAAAATGGAAAAGGACTTCGTTTTTAGCAAAGATAATAGATAGACAATAATAGTTGTTCAAACCAATATTATACCCTATGGCAAAAATTTTTCAATCTATCCAATCTTTTAATAGCTCTCCAATCGAGAGAAAAATAACACATACCAGTTTTTTATTGAAGATTCTATATTGTTATATTTGCGCACCACAGATTAAAATGACTTCATTGCTTTGCTTAAAATTGTCGTAATCAGATAAAATGAGCCATCAAATTCTCACTTTTGCTCTCAGTTGACATATATATGAGCAAAACCTTCTTCTTCTGCGGGATAACTCCCCCCAGGATCGCTTTCGTATTACTTATAAGGGAGGATCCCTTATAAGTTGACCATCTATGCCATATACTTCTCATGCGCAAAACCTTTAAAAACTACAATATTTAATTATAACTGATAATAATGTGAAGTACACGTATTTCGTTATGTGTTTCTACCGGAGAATCGGTCTATCTCAAGGTCTTCTTCATCCAAGTTTTTTCAAATACATTTTTTCACTGAACTATACCTCAACTTAATCACTCTACCGTAGACACAATATACCTCTCTACCTTCTTCCTTCAATAACTTTTCCAAATTAGTTTTTAATTGAAACATCGTCACCCATTCACACAACATGCTCAAGTTAAACTATATTAATGTCGTGATAAAGCTTTCATAGCTCGTGGCTTATTATAATACGGTAGTCGTCGCTAATTGGTAAAGGACTAGAGATCTCACGAAACACATTACTCCCGAAAGCTTCCAGTGCTGTTTCATCATACTGTGATAGCGTTCATGCTTCTAACGTCATAAGATAAGCTAGTTTCTCTAATTCTAACGGACAAAATTCATTGATGCGACCATAACTGTTTATTTATTGAATATTTATTAATTTTAAGGACGTGTGCGAGTTAGGCTAAGTTGCGTTCTAAATGAGGGAAATTCTAAGTTGTGCCGATAATGTAGTGATGTGTCGATACGTGTTGGTAAATAGCTAAATGTGTGCAGTGCAAGAAATCCCAAAAAATCTCCCATTTGGTTTAGCATCAACTTAGCCTAACTCGCACACGTCCTTAGAACGATTTTTTTACTATCATATAACTATCATTATAAGAATCATCATATAACTACCATATAAGAATCATTATATACTATTATATAAGAATAACTACACAGAGTAGTATTATTAATCTCATCTATTGATTCATGGAATTTAAACGTAATTGATTCAAGCTAATATTTTCGAATGTTGGTGTTAATAACAGAGTCGAAATACAAGCTAAAAGTCTTATGATGATAACATCATTTTAAGAGGGTGTTAAATTTTTTATATCTCGAATCATATTCCACAATAGCTTCGACAGATAGCTCCTGTTTTGAAGATAAAGACCTTGACATTCCACCATAGTTATTAGATAATAGTAAGCTTTCAAGTGGGATCTGTACTCTTTTAAATATCTGAATTTATATTTTTACTTAATTTAGAGGGTTTTCGAATAGCAAAGAAAGAAACAAGGGACAAACATAAAAATTTTATTTTTAATTTTTATTGAAATTTGGCTGACCATACAACGCTGTTTCGAGTATTGCCAAGTACTCTTCATCAGTGGTGTTAGGAAATATTCGAATTTTTAATTAGTTTATAGTCCGTATATGATTTATTTGGACTGCAAGTGCCAGGGTTTTTACTTAATATTATAACTTATATTTTCTGGGTTGGCTCTGGTATTAAAAAGTTTCCTCATACATGATTTAATATACTTCTTCAGTCTTTTAGCAAGGCCTCAAACGCTACGAAGCCAGGCTATGAGAAGATTTTAAGGTACCATGATACATTACGACGAATGACATCCTCAGGATCCGATCAAAAAATACATAAAGCATAGTATTTACGAAAACTGACAGGCTTACCAACACCGCGTTATCGAATCTCAGAATGGTAACAGGCTCTTCGGGGTGATATGCAAATCTGAGGTCAATTATTGCTTACTCTGATGAAATGATAAACAATAATGCAGTCAAGGCGTAAAGAGGGGTTATGAAGAAACCTCGCAGTTAATAGAGAATCGAAGTGCTCAAGTGCAATGACTCAACTAGCCTCAACATAATAATAAATACATATATTTCTATTGTTATGATATGTTTAGACTATTGCACTTAATTTGTCAAATATGCAGCGACATGTTCTATTATTCATACTAAATTCATACAAAATTAATCTAAACACATGCTAAAGAGGTTCGATAAGTCAAGGTGTAAACAACTTAGCATTCGTATAAATTTAATATAATTATAGAGAACTACATCATTAATCAAATATTTTTAACTAAATTGTAAAATTTTTTTATATTTTTTGTCAAGAAATATTTAAATAAATAAATTCCATTTATTTTAAATTCATCATATATATTTATATGTATAATAATATATACATATGTGTATATCTTTAAAATTACATCACATCTCTGACTGCCCTACTCTTTTCAGACAATTTAATAAATTCTAAATTTTCTCTCTTAAATAACTAAATCTTTTGTACTCATCGCTTCGCTCTGTTTACACTCCCCAAACCATTTTAAACGTTTGTTATATTTGCTTATCACCAAGAAAAAAACATTCAATGCAAACACACTGAACAAAAAAAGAAAAAGCAAAACAAAACAAAACAAAAACAGAAAAAAAAAACAAACCAAAAATTTCGTCATTGCCGAAAATTTCGAACATGAACGAATGCTTTTACTGAGTTCATTGAACTTTGCTATTGAAATTTCGGGAATACAAATTCATACAAAATAGCACACGCACACGCATACGCATTCACAAACACACGCACAACATACACACCGACAAACTCAAATGAATTTGTTAATAAATATTTCTGGTTGCTGTTCTGCTGCTTATTCTGTTTCTTCTACTGCTGCTGCTGCCGCCACAGCCGCCACTACTGTTGCTGTTCTTGTGTTGTTGATGTTCTGTTTTTGGGTTGTTTGATAATGGGAGCAACAACAGGGGGTGTAGGGCTGAAACCATAGCTTTTAGATACAATTTGGTGGGGTTTGTTAATGCCATATAACTGTGTAAGTGTGTAAGTATGTTTATGTTTATAATGTTAAAGTGTGTGTGTATGTTTTTATGCGCATTTTGGCCATCAAAATGTAGTGACAAGGGCGCCAGCGTAGAATTGGTTTTGAAGTTGTTTGCTTAAGGGGGGATGATTATATTAAAGCATATCAAATAAATGCTTTATATTCTGTTTTCCTTTTCCTCTTGCATTTTTTTTTTTCTTGGTTTTATATATTGTATTTTATTAGAACGTTCATACGTGGGTTCATTGAAGATATTGTCAGTGAGATTTTATGGGATTTAAGGAAGATGCATATAAATTGGTAAAATATTTTATAAATTCTAATTTGTTTAATATTAAATTTAAGCTTAGTTGTTTTTTTCAAACGTGATTTATATACTCTGTACCCTACCGGGAAAAGATATATTTGTGTTTATTTATATATTTGTAAGGATTTGTGGGAGACCTCCCAAATCATGTGTATGAAGCAATTATATTGTATATCAGCATGATGTGATGAATATATTTAGCAATTTAAGCAATGGGACTTAGCATATCACTTCGTGTATCGAACCATTGCAATGTCTTTCAGACAGCGTACTAGCGATCCACTGCACAGCAAAATAGGTCGTAACCAATATGATCACCGATGTAATTATCAAAACACTCGGGCAGGTAAACTGCTAACAAATATCTGTTAGGCGCTATAAGCTTCTTTTAACGCGCTATCTATGTGTGTCAAGGTCCAGCTTTTATAGGTACCTGGGTGCACGAACATCTTGAGCAACTGCAGGGTAGCCGAACTTGCCAAGGTGGGCACTGCTCCATAATATGCATTTTTTAGATGTTGGTGTTCCACTTGCAACCGCCAAGCTATAATTATTATTATTGAGTAAGGGATCGTGCACTGCGACCTAAAAGATCTATTGTGCCCCTTTGTCGGGTTAGAGTATTTCTCCAAGTCCGATTTCTTTAATGAAAGACAGTATGGATCCTATCTTCTCCAGTCTTGAATCCTTATGATCCATGAAATACCCTCCTAGGTGTTTCTTTCGTTTATGCATCAGTGCCGGGCACTCCCCAAGCACATGGTATGCCGTTTCTCTCTCTTCCCTGCAGTATCTGCAGTCTGAGTTGGATTCAATTCCTAACTTCGATAGGTGATTATTCAATCTGCAGTGACCGGTCAGTAAACCCGTAATAATTCTTATGTTAGTCTTTGATTGCACTATGCAATCTTTAAAGCGTTTTAGGTTGTAAGTCCCTAAAAGCATTTTAGATTGTGAGAGTCTTGGTAGCATTAACCAATAGAGTTCTCTCTCTTTTTTCTCTGCGTCATTCATGATAATGGATAGAGCTCCTTTGCCTAGACCACAGAATGGTTCTGGGCCTATCATTCTTGATGCCGCGCCTCTTCTTGCAAGTTTGTCTGCCATTTCATTACCTTGGATACCAGTATGTCCCGGAATCCATAAAAGGTGCACCTGATTGATCCCACCGAGTGTGTTCAGCTTGTCAATGCATTCCCATACCAG